GGGGGTTTTTTTCCCCCTTAAATGGGGGGGGGGTTTTTTTTTTTTTTTTTTTTTTTTTTTTTGCTGTTACCTGTTACCCATATTCAGGCATCAGCTGAAAGACTCTTTGGCCATAGGCACAAAATGCACTGCTGTTCATTCCTTTTGTTAATAATTTCTTTCAGTCTGTGTTCTTCAGTCGAGTATTCCTGTGCAGAGTTAGGCTTGCAGATGGCACTGGTAAGCCCATCTTGATTTGTTTTTATACTAACTAGCCCTGCAGAGAGGAGTACCTATGCATAAGTAGTCATGTCTTCGTGTCAGTGGATGGTGTGGCACCATTAGAGGCAGAAAGCCTTGAGGCAAGGGAGAGGCAGGGCGTTCAATGGACTGTATAGTGTGACAGTGTTTGTGCTCAATGTCACCCCAGTTCAAACCTTTGGCTGTATTCCCAGTTTTGGCTGCTGAGAAAACATTGAACATCTGCACTGATGTGTTGGTAGGGCAGAGTGGGCCAGTTCAGTGACGGAGGCACTGGTTAATTATTGTGCTTACTGTGAAATACATAGGAATGGACAGATCAGACAAGAACTACAGTGAGGGCCAGAATCTATGGTTTCTTACAATACAGTAAGGGGAAACACAAATGTTTCCTGAACTGTGAGGTGTTTGGCTTCCCCTTTGTGTGTCTATTGATGCTGCACCAAGCAGGTTGCCAGCCTCATCTTTAGTATAGACTGTTCACAAAGTCTGGGGCAGCAGGACCTGGCTGACACCCCAATGTCACAGTCAGCACAGACTGCCTCCAAGGCTGCTGTTCTGGCTGAGGAGCTGGAAGACTGCTGACTCGGGAAATCTGAACAGTGTGCATACTGTCCTGCTAACAGACACTCAATCTCTTTTTCAGTTGATCATGTGCTTCCAGAACCTGGATCTAGTTTACTGACCTCCTTTGAGAAGTGGCATGAGGCAGCTGATACCAAATCCTGTTGTGATTATGCTCTCCATGTGGACATCACCAGCTGGTATGATGGGATTCGAGAAGAGCTGGAAGTACTCGTGCAAGACAAAGGTTAGTGAGTGAAATGTAGTAATATTTTTTGGTTTTATTGAAATATCATATGGATGTTACATTTTCAAGTATTTTAATGAATGCATAGGTACTGGCTATGCTGGCTAAGGTTTTCACTACCTTGAACTTGTATTTTCACTTGCTGCGGTGTAAAATTGACCTAAAACTTTGTGTGTATATATGAATTTGTCCAGTATAGACATGGAAGATTAAGATGCTTACATTGTCATAAAGAAATGTATAACTTTATCCTTGCTTGTATATGTGGAAATAAGACATTGCATAGGTAGGTTTTTTTGAAGGTAAAACTCAAAAATCAAATTATTAAAACCTCAAATTATCCTAAATAATCAGCCCAGTCACCATAGATTCTCTATTTAATGAATTAAGAAAAGGAAACATTTCAAAGTAGTGGTTCAGGTTTTAACTAGACTGAAAGATTTGATTCAGCTGCCTCAAATTAAATCCGAATATGAAGAGCACATGGGGCTGTGAAAATGTCACTATAGGCTAGATCTTATTTCACAGCAGTGACTTGGAATAATTTACTTGCTGAAACTTGATTTTGTAAATAAAACATACCTGTATTTTTAGAAAAAAATCCAGTTATTAGAAAAAAAGATGCTAAAGTTAGGTATCTAATATTGAAAAAATGCCCTGATTTTCTCAAGTGCTTCTCTCTGCTGGTTTTCCCTGAAATTACTAGAAGATGCCATGTTTCAACACTTGCAGAAATAAAAAAAAAAGGTCACTTATTTAGGAATCTAAGACACTTCTATGGGTTTGACACTTCCATGGTGTTCAACTATCAGACCTACTATCATGTGAGATGCTATCATAAGAGGTTACCTTACCTGGACTCCAATTACCAATTCAGAAGAGCACAGATGAAACCTCTCCTAAATGCATTTCCATACACACAGTTCTCAATGTGGCAGTCTCAGATATGGAGGGCATCTTTGTGGCACCAGATACTTCTGTGTGGGCAATGGGATCTAGCCTTCAGAAGATCTTAACTTAGATCTTGTTCCTTGAAATTGTGCCTGACAGCTTGTATTTTCTTTGCGGAATCATATATTTTCACATGTTTTTTATTTTCTACTTTCCTTGAAAATGTATGGATGTTAATTAGGGAATATTTTCTGAAATGGCATGTGGTTTCCATGGGCAAATCAGAATGACTCTTCTGTTGGGAAACCTAAGTGATATGTATATGCAGCATCTTTTGTAATGCATAGAGCTAGTGTTGACTAAGATGTGAAAGATTCTCTTCATAGAGAAAGGTACTATCAAAGTAGAAAAAAAAAGCAAAATGCTATTTTTGAGTGAACAGTTGTTTGCTGAGATGCCATGGAGGTTATGGGCATGGGAGAGTTTATTCCATGTCACAGGATGCTAACAGTACATGTGCTGTATTACCAGATTTTAGGCAACAAAACACTTCCATCAGCAAGACTGCACATAATTAGAGAAACTGCAGCTGGTCTTGCATAGGTCTCTAGTATAGGAGATTTTTACAAGGTGATGACATCTGTCAACACAAGCTGTGCTAAATCTGTGCTGTTTCCCTGCTATCAGCATTAACATGAATATGCTGCTGTGCATTAGCTGACTGTACTCTCAAGACAAGTATACTGTGCCTTGTTTCAAAGGTTGGATATTGTTTTCAAGAGATTCCTGACCACAGATGGCTTAGCACTCCCAAATTTGCCCAAGGGTTTACATTAAAAGCCTGGTGCAGACAGTTAGGTTAATAGTTTTCTCTCACTATTGAAATGTGAGTTTTCTGTGTAAATCTGGTCTGCCTTTGAGTCATCAGGGGAAGCAGAAATCTGTTCATTGGTTCCTGAACTGAGATTTATGATGGAGCCTTGGTGGCCTCTTCAGTGTGAGAGCATTAGGAGGTCACCTTTGTTCTCATGTATGTCTTAGGCAGGCAGTGTGAGTTACTCTGACGTGTTGGAGACACAAGGTACAAGGTAAGGGGAGTATGAATGAACAAGCACAATAGGAAATAATTCAACATGGCAAGGGCTTTCAAATTAATGGGTAATATTTCCTGATAATTGGAAACATTTAAGCCAGCTGGTGCAAATAGACTTGATGTCAGTGGAGTGACCCTGGTTTTCATCAGCTGGGAATCTGGTTCTCGGCTGATTGTAGGTGGGTGAGCTGAGTGACAGGGCTCAGCTCAGTGTGTTTCAGAGCTACATGTGCCTAATGCAATCAGCGTGAGTAACAGGGGAGCTCACAGAGTGGCTGTTGAGATGCCTTGTCATGAGGTATAATTGAACAATTAATCAGTTTTAAATCAATACAATGCTAATTTAAGGAGACACAGGCTTTGGAAGTGCCTGGAGATTTTGTAGAGCCAAATATTGATTATAAACACTCAGACTTGTATAATTTCAGCAGCTATTTTGGGATTGAGCTTCTTCACTATATGCAAAGGAACAAGAGCCTGAAATTGCTGACAGGGGCCTCACTGGTTACTTTGACTTTGTCACTGTTCAGAAAGTTCAGGAGTACACTGTAGTCCTCCCTAAAATTTGGAGGGGATTCTGTTGAGTGCCCCTGGTGTGACAGCAAGTAGAACATTAACAAGAACGTAGTGTGTAACAGATGTTAAGCATTCAGGTCAATAGGCCACGGACCAGGGCTTTTGAAAAGCTGCATAATTCCAATGAGTAGGTCAAGGAACCAGGCCAGGGCAAGGAGTCTAATCTTGGATACCTGTATATGTAAATTTGTGTTATTTGTCTTGGTATCTGGTATATGTGCTCTCTTTTCAAGGCCGGATTGTTAGCTGTAAAGGCAGCCCCTGGAATGCTCTTCTACTGAGTGTGTGTGGTGGCAGCTGAGGGTGTGAATGTGTGTTTACATGGGAGAACTCTGCTTCTGCACTGTCGTAAGGAGCAGGCTCAAGATCCTGTGGCAGGTTCCCTACTGGGATCCCTTCTGCTCCCATTAATTTCAGGGAGAGCATTAAACAGAGTGAAAGCAAAACTCAGTCATTTTGCCAAGGTCAGAAAAGGCCTAAGAAGATAGCAAGGCAATAAAAGAGAGAGGATGAGAATATGTATTACTTGGGTCAGGGTATGTGTTTTTCCCCCACAGCAGTCAGGGAAAGCTGCCTTACCTCCTGCAGGACTGTGATGCAATGAATCACCTTTGGTAGAGCCTGCTGGATAAGGGAGAGCAGTAGGAACCCTGGCCTCGGCTCACAGAGAAAAGCGTGTGAGGCATCAGTTCCGTGCTGTCACCGAGGCAGTCGGCGTGGCTTGGAGCAGGCCCGACATGTCCTCCTTGCTTTGTGTGGGCACGGGCACCCCTGCAGAGAGCTGGCTCCTGGGTGCAGCTGACATCTGACACGTGGGGTGGATTTGTGGAGAGAAGATTGAGCTTTTCTCTAAGGCAGGTGGGGTGGGTGTGCTGGGCCCTGCTGTGAGCTGTCAGAGGAGCTCAGGGTGTGAGACTGCAAGCACTGACCCCAGGGCCGGCCCAGCCAAGCTTAGGTTTTAAAATAAAAAAGTACTGAGTACTTTGAAATTGTAATCAGGAGTAGAGGGAGGGATTACAGTTAATAAAGGCTACATGTGTCTTCCGAGAACATGATAAATAGGAAAATGGGAAGAAAGGATGGGTGTACAGGCTGACAGGGTTCCACTGTTCAGGCTGGATTTGCTCAGTGTGGAAGTCAGCAAGGAGGGGCCAGCTCCTGCTTTGTGTTTCTCTCTGAGCTGCCTGGACTTAGCAGGAAGACATAATACCAGGGATCATTTCAATGTTTTATCTTGTATCCTGGGGTACTTTAGTCCTGTAATTGTAAACAAATGAATTCTGTGTGTGTGTATGTGTGTGTGTGTGTGTGTGAGCAGTCATACCCTCTGCTCAAGGATGTATTTATTCTAGACTCATGAAGGAGTTATATCTTCATCAGAGAGGTTTATTCATTTTATTCATTCATGTAGACAACATGAACAATGGGAACATTTTCTTCTTGCCCCAGGAAACAGTTTTCATCACAGCCATTTTGAAATGCAGCATACACAGTTTAGGTAGCTTAGAATTTACTCTTTTTTTGAGCTAGAAAACTACAGTACTGGCCCTTGAACCAAACTGGGGGTCTTGGCAGTAGACTAAAAGGTAAGACAAATATATACACTAATATGAATTCATATGTACAGAGATTATGAACAGAAAGCATTTGTAAGTTGTATTCTGTAAGACTACAAAGCCATGCAAATAACCAAATCTTTGAAATAAATAGCAACACTTATGGGGATTTGAATACAGGGAGTTATTGACAACTGACACTCAACACTAGCATTTCTTAGGGATTTCTGAAATTTGAAACTGTTGTCTTTCTTGGTTTTTATGGCTGCCAGCATAAATCCTTCCTTTTTTGGAAGGCAGAAGAAGAGGTGTGGTGAGCTGCATATGAAACTGGTTTCGGGCTTTGTCTCCACTCCTTCCCAGTATCTACCATCAGCTAAGCTTAGTTACACGTTCTCAGCACTTTGGGGGAACCTAACCAGAAGTTTTTTCTACCAAAAAGCACAGTTTAGATCAAGCTGAAATGTTTTCCTGAGTAGCTAAGGAAACCTACAAAGAAAAACACTGATTCACAGAACCTTACACAAGGTTTTTTAAACTTCACAAAGTTTACATGCTTGCTTTAGCCACCATTGCTTGTCTGTGATTTGGCTACAAGCAATCCTCTTTGCAGTGGTGGCTGGGTTACTCCAGGGATGAACACAGGCTACCCACAGCATCCAGAAAATTCCCCCAGCATAGAGGGCATCCAGGCTTCTAGTCCTAGCAGCTGTAATGCAGCTGTGAAGCCATGCTCGAGTTTTGGCAATCATTAGTGAAAAGCCTAGTCCAGACATACTCTATTACTTACTTTTCCTGAAGTTTTTGTTCAAATGCAATCTAAGAATATGCTTACATGGCAACACCTTTGAATTTTGTCTTGTAACAGGTGTGAACTCTTTTCAAGTCTACATGGCATACAAAGATCTCTACCAAATGTCCGACAGCCAGGTATTGCTCTGAATGCTTTTCTTTGCTGTGATCTGTCCTCTCTTTTCTCATCTCCCAACACTTGAGGAGTTGCTAAGGTTGAATCCCAGAGAAACATTCTCACTGGCCTGATTGGCACTGGGAGAAATGTGCAGTGGTGGTTTACTCTCTGGAGGGTCAGTTCTGAGCTGTGCAGAACACCTGCATGTGTTTCTTCAAGTGTATGACATTCACCTTCTGTAGAGATCTTCTGGTGTCTCCCAACATTGCAGCCACTCAGCTCTGCTCAGGATTTCACTCATTTTATTTTGCAGTAACCTTTCGAGGACTCTAGGTCAGAGAGGGAGAAAAAGATGAAGCACTCGAGGCAGTGGCAGTTCTGAGGCTTCAAGAGTTTCTTGGTTGTGTAAGCAGCTAAATGGAGTTGCTCTTTGGGGGAGGTGGCCTTTTCTCATTAGGGCTGGAGATAACAATGAGCTTGTTTGTCCAGAGCTCATTACAGATTCCAGACTCTTCAGCTTTCCCATTCATACATATCAGGCCACTGTAAATGGACAATGGCATCTGTTAGTAATAATAATGTTTGCTTATTCAGTTGATAAAATGTTTCTGTCTTACTTATTCCCAGAGCTACAGCTCTTGGTCTCTTAAATAACTGTTGTTACACCTCCAATACATGTGGTTTTAATTGGAATTTTAGACATAAAAATTTATAAATATTCTCTGACAGGCAGTGCCTTAAATTCAAATCCCTGCTGGCATTGCCAAGTGGAATACGTTAAAAAAAAAAAAAAAAAAAAAAAAAAAACCAAGGATGCTCTAGAGAAAATATTGCAACTTTTAATATCCGAATTAAAGATGTTGCTGAAAGCTCAGCAGTGATGGCTCTAAGAAGATGGTGCAAAATGCCTGCACTTCAGAAAAGAGATGTAAAAACAGGGATGCTCGAGAGAAAATATTGCAACTTTTAATATCTGAATTAAAGATGTTGCTGGAAGCTCAGCAGTGATGGCTCTAAGAAGATGGTGCAAAATGCCTGCACTTCAGAAAAGAGATGTTCTAGCCATGCTAAAAGTACCTGTAGTACATGGCAATAATTCTGTTCTACATTTGCTAAAACTGCAGAACTAAAGGGCTACTAAACTTAGCCCTGGGGGGGGGGGCATGGGGCGGTGGCCCTGCAGTGCAGTGGCTGGGGCAGACTCTGTGTCCCAGGGAAATTCAGCCCTGTTTGGGGTTGTTGACCCTGTCTTGGTGCAGCTGGTGTTTACAGGGGTGGGTAAGTCAGCACCAATCAGTGAAGCTCAGGTTCTGTGTAGAAAAGAGATCATTTACTATTTACCAATATAATTACCAGCATAGAAGGTACAAAACTGAGGTGAAGAGAGAGGTCTGAGTGTTAAGTAATGTGCTTTCCTTATTCAGCAGTGTTTCCTTCTTTGTACTACCTGCAGCTTTATGAAGCCTTTACCTTTCTAAAGAGTCTTGGGGCTGTTATCCTGGTCCATGCTGAAAATGGAGACTTGATAGCTCAGGTGAGTTAACCATCATTTTTTGCTTCACTTTGTGAGATGATAGATATAAGAGAGGAGAAACTAAATAGGCCAGTCAGAGAATGGGTAGAAAGAAGGGAACTCCCTGGAAAGAGACTTAATTGAACCTGATGCCCTGCACACTGTTGGTATAAAGTCTGAGATGAGAGAATTGGGGTCCTTTTGCATTAATTGGCAGAGCAGCCTTGAGATAGGGCAATGGTCCCGGCAGCTCCTTGCCTTGGCAGCAAATGAGGACTAGATAAGGAGGGCAGAAGGAAGCAAGAAGATTTCTTCTGAATCTTGCAGACACAAGTGAAGCAGAATAATGTAAAGCCTTGTTCACAGATTTTGGGTACAAAAAGAGGATCTGAAAGCTTTATACTAAAGTCTTTTGCTGCAGCTATCAGCATAAGCAACACAGTGAGTTTGGAGCAGGTATTAAAGCTCACAGACCTATTTATTTTTGAGAATATTCTTATAAATCTCTGAAGTTTGAGAATAAGAACTACTGTGATCTTGTAGACATTTCAAAAATGTGTGTTTAAGTATAATCCATGCTCTTAGAAGATGCATCTCAGAACCATGAAGCTGGGCTCAAGTTCACAATGTTCCATTAAAGCGCCCTGCACCTGCAGTGCAGTCCTTGCAAGTCAAGCGCCCTGGGAGCTGCTGTCCTCCCACTGGACTGTACCATGGCTCTGATCAGTGCCACAGCACATGGAAAGAGGCAGCACAAGGACAGCAGTTGATAGTAAACCTCCCATGGTCTTTCAGAGGCCAGGATCCCCCTCTGAAACAGAAGGGGCAGGTTTGGGTGGGCGTTGTTTTGACGCTGCATTTGTGACAGATGAATCTTTGAAGGCTGTTGCAGAGATGTCTCACTCCCCTGATCTCTCGTACGTGCATCGAGCCCCTCTTAGGTCGGTGAGGCTCTGACTGAGCCATCTGATTTATCTGCTGAGCTGCTTATCTGCTGGCTTATCTGCTAAGGACTGGGCTGCAGAGCTGACAAGGAAATTACAGCTAAAGCTGTCTTTGAGATCTGCTCGACAAGGCAACCCACCTTGTCTCATGTCTAAGGGAGAACATCAGGGGAATGTTTGAGGTGTTGGGCAGTGTGTAAGAACTCTTGCCTTGGGTGTATTTTGTTTTTCCCTCTGGGAGAAAAACACATCTCCATCTGCCTGGTTAGAATTTACCCCCTTTGAGATCTGCCTTTCACTTTGACCAAAATAATGACTGGGATCAAAAGTTACTAGTGAGGAGTCAGTAGGCACATACAGTGTGGTTGTGTCCTTCCCCCACTGAAACTAGGTGACAACCCCCATTTGAATTCAAGAGAGAAAAAGCTGATTTCTCATGAAGTTTAGCTTGAATAAAAACTACTAAATACATGATTTATAGTTTTAATACAGCATAAAATATCTAGTAGAATTAAAATGACTATTAATAAGCACGATTAAGTCAATATTACTGTAGGAATGGCAAAATAAAACAAATCAAATGGCATCTGTGGTGTTTTGATACATTGCCCATTAAAATCAAGGTGCACTCATGGAATTGCATATTTGATAGAAATCTATTTCAGTTACATTTTTCTCTGATCAGCCTTAATATACAGCCATTGAATATGAACAAACAGGACAGAAAAATTATTAGGTAAAGAGGAAGCAGTAAATAAATGTAAGTTATGTTATACATCAGCTTATTTGTACACCATTGCCATGTTTCATAAAATCAGTATTTCTCTATGCTTTTGTGTAGCAGAATTGTTTGGATAATGAAAAGAAAGCTGCCTGCACATAGGCTTTTTAGGACTGTCCTGTGTGAAAATACAAATTTGATCCTGTCAAACAAATATTCTAGTTAATTAGCACTATCAAGTCCTCTTACAGAGGGTAATTTATCATGTGATCTGATTTTATTACTTCCTCAAGATGCAAATCTGTCCTACTTTGTGTATCTATTCTGTGCCAATGTGCTATTTTTTTACATGGCTGTAACTTCATTTTATTGCTGTACTTTAATTATCTGATGTCTTTAACTGGCGCTGTTCAGAGTGGTGCGTTAATGATCCAGAACAGCTGTTTTTAATAATACCTATGAAACCTTCTGTTTTTCTAACCAAAATGTTCTTACACAGTCAGAGTAATGTGCTCCTGTTAATGCCTCTTCAGTCTTGATTGATTGCAATGAAGGCTAAAGCATATATGAATGTTAACTTTTTCAGCTTTACTAGAGTGTGTTGGTAATGTGTGGGCTTTTCACCCTCAGGGACCTGGGATCAGATATTTATTAGTTGACACATTCAAATATGTTCAGTAACTTCATCCTGGTCTCTAGGGGACATTTCTCTGTGTCACATAGCCATTACATTGTTGAGCTGGGCTCGTTAGAGCCTTGTGGGCAGGCCAGGCCAGGCCAGCCCAGGGCCAGAGGTACAGTAGCAGCTCTGGTCCCACTTCTGCACTGCTGTCAGGCCTGGACCAACCTCAGATGAAAAAGGGGTTGACCAGCAGTTTCTGCAAAAAGGGAAATTTATTCCAATAACACTGCTTGGCCTTAATTTTCTATTTAAAAAAAATTATCTCACGGCTATGAAGTTGGATAGTGCAGATTATTTTTCTGACAAGTCCCCATTGGTCCTGAGATGGGGTCTTTGATGAGGACACAGCGCCCTTGCAACTGGAGGGTACTGTTCTGTTTTATAAAAGCATAATTTTAGTGATTCACTCTATAGGAAGAAAGTGTTACAGAAAACTGAAAGTGTCAGCAATGCTGAAGTTTTAAGAAGGTGCTTTGTGGATTGCAGCCAGAGAAGAACTTGAGCAAGTAAATAGGGAATGGCAGGTTGGAAGTACCCATAATTACTATTTAGTGTATTGGTTGCAGCCCATTCCTGAGCTGGTGTTGTGGTGTCAAGTAGGACTTTCTGGAGGACAGAGGAGGTTTCTGATGGTGCAGGCCAATGGCTTGGGGCACAAATATGCTCAATCACACAACAGAGAGCACTGCTGGCTGTGCTGGTGTGGCATGGCACCAGTTTAGAGCCAGTGTTTTCAGTGTTCAGTGGGTTTTGCAGCTGCACTTGCACTGACTGAAAAGGGCAGTCAGACCATGTGGCTGTTCATCTCCCTGAGGATGCTGGGTGCACAGGTCTCATCCTGGAGCTGGGTCAGCATTTATCTCTTACATTGCAGGAACAAAAGCGTATTCTGGAGATGGGAATCACTGGACCTGAGGGACATGCCCTGAGCAGGCCAGAAGAGGTAAGGCCAGATGTCTGTTTCTCCCATTGCCTTTTCCAGTATTACTCAAAGTCTGAAAAGTTCAGGTCCTTTCAACATGTTTGTTTGCCTGAAAAGCCCTTTGGATGCTGCAGCCAGGTGCATTCCCTTAGTCCAGGGATAAGCATGTACACTCCTTGTACACTCAGAAGTCTCAGCTCCTGCTGCCCCAGGCATGGATGTCCATGTATTTTTTTAAGTGTGACCTTTGTGTTTCGATTTGTGATGACAAAAAAATAGGCTTATCAGGCTAAAAATCAGCAGTGCAGCTTGAGGGTTAGTCCTCATTTTAATAAACTGCATTTATTAAAATGCTTTGGCTGAAAACTATAGCATCTATACTGTGCATAGGCATACACCCACATATAGATCTACTTTCATGCTGGCAGATATATGGTGTCAGAAATGCAGGCTGTAGAGATGCAAATACATGAGAATGGAAAGTTGCTGTGAGGCAGCTTGTTTTAAACAACTCCCTTATAATAAAATCTGAGCTCTGGTGTGGATCATCTCAGGCATCTGGAAAGGGTTTATTTAATGCCAAGGAAAATGTGGAGACATGAGAATGCCCCCTAAAGTACACAGCTCAGACCGTTAATGGGATGTGGAGGGCGGTAGTGGGAAGTGGCTGCTTTCCTAGAAGACTAAAGAGACGACGTCCTGGGGGTTTGAGGCTGAACTTGAAGAGATTGTTGTGGTTTGCAGATCTTTATTTAACTTCTCCCCAAGGCAAAAGGAATCAGCTTAATTGGTCGCATTCTTCTATTGAACTGTTTATGTACTTTTTCATTTTGCCGTTCAACTTCCACTAAAATTATTCTAAAAGGATTGGGTTGTTTCCTTTTAATGAAAACAAGGGCCTAAGAATTGCATTTGCAATTTTCAGAAAGGAATTTTGCTCAGCTTTAGTGCTGCAGTGCAGAGTCTGTGCCTCCTTCCCTGCTCTCCAAAGGTGCATTTGGGGTTTCCAGAGGAAATATTTTGATACAAGTCCTAGGACAAACTGGAGCAGTCTGATTTAAAGAAAAAATATTTTACAAAACTGTAAAAGATTAAGCCATGTGGTTTTGGAAGGTCTAAGAAGCTCAACTTTTCTAGAAAAATTCTTGCACGGAAATTTCTATACCGCTAAGTCACTATTTTCAGTTACAACAGGGTTTTTCGTATTAAAATGCCAATACTGTGAGTCCATCTGGGAAGAATCTGGTATCAAACCAATGGTTGGGGGAAGGAGTCTCCAGAGCTGCTGGGAAACACTGCTCCTCCATCTGAAGATGCTTGCTTTGTGTGCCTACATCCCAGATGGCTCCCTGGGAGGAGATTGCCTTTACGCTTGCTGACAGAGGGGACTTGCTGGGCACTGCTTCAAAGGCTTCTGTGGATTATGGGCTAAATTCAGTCCGTAGTGCTGAAGTTGCTGTTTGAGAATTCTTTACATTCACAGTGAATGTAAAGAATTCTCAAACAGCAACCATTATGTAAAGATCAGGGAAAGCTGCTGGGGGAGTTCAGAGGTTGTCTCCGAGCAGGGCCAAAGTTTTCTTGCTTAGTTCTCCTTTCAGCTGCAGGGTAGGAGTCTTAAACAGGAAGGTGGGAGGAAAGTAAGAAGGAGCTGCATCAGATGCTTGGGCATGAGCTTTCCTGGGGTGCAGGGAGCCAGGGAGCTGTGTTTGTGCTGGGGCAGCTGTACCCTGCTAGTGAGTACAGCCTGGCTGTGGTTAGTGCTAGTGCCAGGTGTTTGGGGTTGGGTTAGCTCCCCAGTCCCCAGCACTGTGTTTCTCTGTATGGAAAAAGTAGAATCAACCCCTGAAGAGTTGTTGCTGAACAGTTAGAAATATGGCACAGTCCTCCAGCTGATTTTTTCTTCAGGCTGCATTTGCAGTTAACTTTTCCCTCCTTGTTTTGCTCAGCTTGAAGCAGAAGCAGTTTTCCGTGCCATCACGATTGCCAGTCGAATAAACTGCCCAGTGTACATCACCAAGGTGATGAGTAAGAGTGCAGCTGATATCATTGCACAGGCCAGGAAGAGAGGTAAGTGATTTCCTTTGCTCCCCCAAACTCATTTTTTTTGTTGAATAGAAGCTCAGTGAAAAAACCTGTATGCCTTGACCCAAATGACAGGCTATAGGGAGAGGTTATCAAAGAATGGCAGAACCATTGCAGACTAAATATTTATGGCTGGGAAGGATGAGGGAAAATCCTTTTATATTTTTAAGTTGAGAAGCCCTCCCCACAAACTGTCCTCTTGAAGACTGAATTGTAACTCTTCTCTATCCTGTTTTCCCTTTTACTTTTCCGTTAGACTGCTATATCTCTGTTCATGGGAAGGAGGTACTTTATTCCTAACAGCACATCCTCTATGCCAGTATTTTGGCTTTTCTGAGAGATGGCTTGGGCAGTGACCCCACTGTCAGAGATGCTCAGAGCTCACTCCTGGCCTTGCTGCTGGAAGCTGAGCTCCTCTGATGGGTACTGCAGGTCAGCCCTGCTTGCTGGGGCCGTGGTGGGATCCAGGTTACAAAGCACCCAAAAGGGCCTTGTGAGCCTGAAGGCAGCTGCTTCTGAAGCTGCCTTTGCAAATCAGGACTGTTCTGCTGGTTGGGACTACAAAGCCTGTGAGCAATATGGAGAAGCCAAAGAGCAAATTATTGTCTTGATGTTTGTATTCTTGGAGACTTGGAGTGTGGTGCAGGGGACCATATGCTGCTGTCTGCTGGTGCTGTGCCCAACCTGGGAGTAGTAAAAAGGCATCTGCCTGCTGAAGTGATCCACCATCCAGTGCGCTCCAAATTGGAGCAACATGGCTGTGATTAAAACAGTACAAATTAAAAGTGGGTCTGAACTGTCTCCTTCTGGATTAGAAAGAAAGATTTGTAAATAGGCTGATCAAAAGCATGTAGAGCTCAGAGAGACTCCTGATTAATTTTTTATTATACAGACAAAGCCAGAGCTGTTTAATTTCCTGGGAGCTGTGCTAGCCATGTAGCAATGTGTGAATTATACATGGCTGCATGCAGCAAGCCGTGTCATGCTGAAGAGAGAGTGGGTTGTACATAGTTCCTGTATATCCTTGCTTTCTCCAAGGTCCCCTTGTTTTTGGAGAGCCGATCACTGCCAGCTTGGGGACAGATGGGACACATTACTGGAGCAAAAACTGGGCCAAGGCTGCAGCTTTTGTGACCTCACCACCTCTGAGCCCTGACCCTACCACTCCAGACCACTTAAATTCGCTCTTAGCATGGTAAGACTTCCTTTTTTTTTTTTAACAGTATGATGGTGAGGCATGTGCAAAAGCCATATGGCATGAAGCATCTAGGGATCATCCTGGTTTCCTTTAGACCAGACTCACACATGAAACAGCAGAGAAAGGATATAGAAAACCAGGGATATTTATATTCTTATGCTTAGGCTGTCAGTCAAGTGAGCAGTCATGGACACTCCAGTTACTGGTTGTCATGATAAAGAGCCAATTTCTGGCTATTCAGGAATTAATTCTTTTTATTTCTGCTTTTCAAGTGATTCCTAGTTGTACAACTGGATTGTCAGGATTTCAAACTGGCCTTCTCCCTAGTTTTCAGTTTTCTTTAGCTGAATTGTTGATATATGATGGGATGGCATCCTCACTGTCTACCATACGCAAAAGCCTGGTGGATACATCATATCCCCATCTTTGAGATGGGGATATACATACCCCATCTTTGAGAACAGACTCAATTTTAAGTCCCAGTCATATTTGACAAGCACAGCTCCAGAAATCAGGGCTGTTCCTGAATGCAGAGATACCTAGAACCAAGAAAAATTTCTTGGGGCAATTTTTGTCAAAGCTGGTGCAGGGCTCTCAGCTGTGAGTTTTGTAAATTGGCTTGTCTTAAACTAACTTGTAGTAGCAGAGTTTGGTGGGTTTATCTCCTGCATATTGAAAAATTCTGACTTGGTCGTTTGCCTTCATCTGGGAGGGAGCAAAATCATACAAGTTTCCTCGTGTCCAGTTCTTGCAGGCTTCTTATTTTAGCTTGCCTTGTGTCTTTATGGGCTCTGGGGTCCTCCATCTGGAAGAAGGCAAAGATAAGTGATACATGTTGAGCAGGTATGTCAGGAGAAAGAGGCCAGAGTGAATTACAGAGGAGACTGTGAGGGATTTGGGTGGAGACAGCTGGAGACTGAAGGCCGTCTCTTGACAGAATAGGGATGTGAGCTGACTACCTTCAGGTTGGCAGGGAGAGTTTAATCACCAGGTAGGTGAAAGGAATGTGGACAGTAGAGGAAGAAGTGTCTTTCTCATGTAGAAAAGAAGATAGCAGCAATGCTTTGCCAGAAACCCAGACTGTAAACCCATCTCTGAAAGTATTTCCTGCCTGTAGCCAACTGTGGGTCTTTAGCTTAAGCAGAAGACCATCTGCTCTGAAATGATATAGAAATTCACACTGAAGCCCCACCAGGAGAGATTGCTAGGGCTGGAGTGAGGAGCTCAACTTACCATTCATATCCTTATTTACCTTCATGTGGTGGCACCCCCTCAGCTCCAGCCTCCCCTTTCTGGGGTTTCCAATGCCCCAGACAGTGAAATTTGAACCTTGAAAGTGATCATCTTCAGAGCAGCTGCCTGGGAGCTGGGTGGGCACACACACGTGACAGGAAGATGCCATCAGTCAGTGCCACACGATGGTCAGGCTGTGCAGCCCAGAGCCCACCCAGGCTTTAACTCAACTTCTCTAAAGATGCTGCAGTTGAGCTCTGAGTTACGTGTGGCTCTGGTAAGAATTCACAGCAGTTCTCTTCTGACAGTCTACAACAGGCAAAAATGTTTTTTTCCATAACTGAGCTTTCTGTTCCAAATAAAGACTTAGAAAAAAATTACTTTCTTGGTCTGATTCATCACTATCAGCACTGTAAAGGGTGAAGCTCACTGTGTAAGGGTAAGGCTGTTAGCCAGCACATGTAAATGTGTATCAAAATGTTTGACTCCTTACTCTCTTAGAGTGGCTATATATGCTTTCTAGAAGAGAGTCCCAAAATAATAGTATGTGGGTCAAAGCAGATTAGCAAGAACATTTTTAGAATTGGAATCCAAATAATGACTTTTTAAAACTAACATCAGAAAGAAAAACGAGGACTTACAGAAGTTTTCATTATTCTCCAAGCATGCAAAAATGTTTGGTTTTTTTTTCTAGTGGCTTAAAGTCCTAGATCTTAAATGACAGCAGCTTAGCCTGCTTTCAGTTTGAATACTTCAAATCCATACTGTGAAACTAAAAAGAACTGTATATTGCATCAGTCTGCTGTGCATTCATGGGGAATTTTATGCACGGATGATGGTAAAGACAGTATTTCATGTTTCTATTACACTGTTGATTTGGATACCAATATTTTACATTCATCAAAAAATCCCTATAGCATCCTTCCTTTCCAAACATGCAGCACACTGCTTGTGCTCTTCTCCACAGAAAGCTGAATGATTTGATTTGTTGATTTTCCAGTGAAGAGCTGACAGTATAAAACCCTGTCATGTCTCATGGGATTTGCAGATTGAATTTGCCTCATGAGATTAGGTCCTTGTGTCGTCTGTGGGCCATGCACTTGAGTTAGCTTTGATCTTGCATGGTGTGCTGCTGCATTGCTGCAGCTGTGATGTGCCTCCTGTTGTGAAGCAGAGATGTGAGATCTTGGTGCTACACAGAAGATGCAACTTGCCATGAAAATCTTGTTTAAGGGGAAGAATAAGATGACAAGGTATTGATCTGGCATTTATTTCATGGAGATCCTGTCTCTCAGTTTTTTTTTTCAGTTGAGGTAATGCTTATCCCCCATTTGACAGTAGAGTGTGTCCACACAGGAGGAGTGCTTGTGGGTTAACCAGGGATGGGAAGCTCTCAAGTGACACACTTCAGTTTCAGAAGCCTTCTATTGATTTGACTGGGGAGTGCAGTTCATATAAATAATGTCATTAAATGTCAGAGAAGAGGGAATATGGAGTTAAGAAAGCAAACCCTTGTTATCTTTCAGGTGTAGGAATTTGTAGTGTGGTGTTAGAAGCACAGCATAACCTCAGAGAAGTGGGCGGTGATACAGGGCCTGGCTGTGACAGGTTTTCATGGTTATATCAGTGTGTGGAAAGGAGAGATGCCACAGGAAGCTTTGCTGATTATAAAAGCATCAAAAATGAAGAAATGGCATTGCAACCTTCTGACTTTATTGTCGTGTTAAATTAAATGAATGTTTAACTGATGAAATTGGCTTAATCCTGTGGAGTAACACCAGGCAGTCATTAACAGTCAGGACCAGCTAAAGCATAGCAGCCTTTTCTGTACTGAATTCATGGGCTTGGCTTCTGCTGAAAACTGGATGGATGGCTTGTGAGCATGGTGAAGAACCAGAAAAGAGGCCAAGGACTCTTCTCTGTCAGCAATCATTAGGGCTGGCAGCCTAGAAAATGGCATTAGAATTACTCACATGTGACACTTTTTTCTTCTGTACTTGTCTATTTGTTAGCTTGTTGGATCTAGATTTGTGGACCAGAATAATTCAGTTTTAGAGCTGGAATATACGTTATCAGTTAAAGAAAAAGATGACAGGCTCTTGAGGACTTATGGAGTGATGGAAGGGAAATCACAGTGAGTTCTAATGTGCTTACCTCTTGTAAGTTTAATCAAGAGCTAAAAATACCATATTTCTTGTGGATATTGGAGAACTTTCTTTTTTGACTTTCTGTTTTGGCAAGATTCTGCATATTGATTATGTTCTTCCTCCTTATTTCCAGGAGCAGCTGTGATCCAGTTCTGCTCTCTGCCAAAAAAAAAAAAAATCCTCTAGGCTGAAAAACCCAACCTTTTAAATAAAAGCATTATAGATCGTAGCTCTTTTAGCATTTTTCGCCATGCCTTTTTCTGTGTAAGACTCTTAAGTCAGATAAATCCAGAGCATGTGTTTGACTTGCACTATGTCTTTTGTTGTTTAATTACAAACTACCTGATAAAAATATTTTTATTTTCTTGCTTCTGTTTTGGAAGGTCAGATGAGAAGTATTCATGTAAGTTTTGCATGAAAAATACATGTGTAGGAGAGAAATGCAGGAGTTTGAAGTTCATGACTTTGCACTGTGAAATTTGCCATTATTTTTTAATGTGGTTGTGAATTAATTTATCTTGAGAGTGGCAGACATTTCATAGAAGCTTCTGATCATTTTCTTAATCCTGGAGTAATCCCTAGTTCTTGTTAGTGTGCTTTTGCCTGATCTCTGGTGATAAGCAGCCTGGAGCTGGAGGGGGCTGTAATCCTGGAGTCCAGGGTGCTCCTGGGGGAAAGTGGAGATGTCCAGTGCCATTGTTACTCCCAGTGATCTGTAGCCAGCACAGAAAAGCTGCTGGCATGATTTACAGCCTGTGCCTCTGGTGGCTTGAAAGGCTTGAACGGTCCATTCACAGCCTGTCTGAGACCAAGGTCACCTTGGTGATGCCTGGTCTAAACCTTCTGTGTGTTAACTCCACAGTGGGGACCTGCAGGTGACGGGAAGTGGACATTGCCCCTATAGCACTGCCCAGAAAGCCATTGGAAAGGACAACTTCACTATGATTCCTGAAGGGGTCAATGGAATTGAGGAAAGGATGACTGTTGTCTGGGACAAGGCTGTAGTAAGTAATTACTTACTTTTATAGACTAAAAGGAAATTGAGTGTTGGCTGAATAATGTAAGCCAAGAGACTCTTGGCCATTGCTTAAGTGACTTTCTGATATATTTCTGAGAATTCCCTGAGAGAATGCTACTGTGAGGTGAATTGCTTATTTCAAAAACCTCTTCCAGTTTTTTAAACTCAGGGCTGTGTTTCATTTGTGATACTGCAATAGTATTGTCTTTCATTAGACCTGAGGCTTCCCAGACTCCATTGCTCTATTTTCCCTTAGTGTCAGACTGGATGCTTCTGAGAGATGTGGTATCTGGAGCAATTTAATGGTTTTGAAGTGGACCTCATATAAACGTGATGAATGAATTGTTTGAATTTGGGAAGTGTCTCATCTTTTTTGAAAAATTACAAATGGATGGCAGCTGAGCCTGAGGCAAAGTGATGAAATGCTTTGAAGGAGAGCGTTGCATGTAATTCATACTGGCATACTTTGCAGTGGAGTGCCGGTGTAAGTCAGGAAATTTCTGACAGTTCCATGGATTCTAATGTATCATGATACTCTCCCTCTACTGCCGGTCTCCACGTGCACACCCTGCACACTCACACACACTCACTGCATTGTGTCAAATGTACATTGCAGACTGGGAAGTGGCAGTATTTACAGTGCTATGACAAGCATGTCTCCCAGACTCTATTTCATAACCACTTAATTCAGGGACAGCTATTGAGATTCCAAGCACAGAAGCAGCTTCAGATACCTGCCATGTAGGAGCAAAGTAGGGAAGCAAGCAAAGCACAGCCAGCTGCTGTATTTTCTTTTGTTACTCCCTCAATGGGAAGGAACTGCAGGATAGGCTGCAACATGGGATTTACAGGTGATAACATTCAGTTCTGCACTACTGAGTAGCTTATACTTTACAAACCTTATATTTTAGCAAGCAAGAAGTAAGTTTTTATCTAATAATAAAAGGCTTGGCACTGTTGTTCTTCCTTAGAACATTGTTCTTGCTCATTACCAGGGAAGACCCCAAAATACTCTACTGAGAAATCAAAATGCTGTTCTGTACAGTTGCAATTACTATCACTGACTGTATGCCAAGTACTATTGGTGATGACATTTCTCCAGGCAAGGACTTTATAACTGATTATATTACTTAGATGTATAGATCTGACAATAATGATAATAGAATGGACTTAATTTGCAAGAACTGTTCCCAAAAGTGTTGGAATCTGATCTTTTGTTACATCTCGTAACACTCATGAAATTCTCTGATTTAAAACTGCTTAAATATTTAACTAGAAATTACTAGGACTAGCAACAAAACTGTTAGGCCTCAGTGTGTGGAGAAAGGGTGGCTGAGCACCTTGATAGCTGAGCATCAGATGGCTGAGCACCTTGGTGTTATCGTGTGCACTTAAGTTTCACTGGCTATCCTTTGCAATGCCTACAGTAACACACTTATTTATTTAAAACTTCCAATTAAAGAGCTGTACAGAAAATCCTGTGTGATACAATCTCTGGTTCATGCAAGATCACCATATCTATAAAGGGATGCCTATCTCCCTGACCTTTCAGTACTCTGAATAGTAAATCCTTATTTCATAAGCATGTTTTGCTCAAACCACATTGTCTTTTAGGCCACAGGCAAGATGGATGAGAGCCAGTTTGTAGCTGTCACCAGCACCAATGCTGCCAAAATCTTTAATCTGTATCCAAGGAAAGGCCGGATTGCTGTAGGATCCGATGCTGATGTTGTTATCTGGGACCCTGACAAGGTGAAGACTATAACAGCCAAAAGCCATAAATCGGTAAGGAGGAAATGAAAACCAGCAAGAAAAAAGAAATGTCACTGTTGTTTTTCAGCTGTTGACCTAAATCATGTGAACACCAATAGCACAGGATGCTGAGGAGGGGGTAACTGCCTACTTCTGTTCTGAAATGGGTAAATGTTTCAGGACATGAGAGTATTGCAGTCCTATGTTGGAAGCATTGTGATCAGGAAGGATTTATTTTCTCTCTACATATACCTTGCACTGTTTGTTTTTTGCATGCTTGTGGCAGACCTATACATTTATAAACCTTTAAAAAGTACATTTGGGTGATTCAGTTTCTGTTTCTCTGTCTTGGGATCTCTCTGTATTTTCAAGAAAGTAATAACCACCTGCCCTGTCATTCCCATTTAGATCGAGACCTTCCTGGGCTTTTCTGGGATTTTTCAGACAGAAATATGTGTGCTGGCCTCTTCGAAATTTGCTTGCACAGTAACAACAGACGCACGGTGGGACCACGTGCTCTGGTTATCCAGAACCTGAGTCACAATTTTCCTTCTTATTAGGGTTATCAATGTTCTCAATGCTCTGGTTAGATACAGCAAATTTTCAAAAACATTTTCCATTCTTGATGGAAAATGAAAAACTGGAAGGAAATGTCTCGTCCAGGAGAGTCTGATGAGAAAGATCCTTTAAAATAATTTCATATCAAAATGCATTGCTTTTCCTTCACACAAAACAATTGTATACACTTCTTAATGGCAGTTGTCTAAAACTATGACTACAAATGTACATATTGTAAATTACTAATGGAAAGAGGTCTTGGTGGTGAATATGTTGGTTGATCCTCAGGCCATTGAGTACAACATCTTTGAAGGAATGGAGTGCCATGGTGCCCCACTTGTGGTCATAAGCCAAGGGAAGATTGTGTTTGAGGATGGAAATCTGCACGTCAATAAGGGAATGGGCCGCTTCATCCCTCGCAAACCTTTTCCTGAGTATCTCTACCAGCGCATCAAAATCAGGAATAAGGTAATGTCACATCCTGTTGAATCTTCTTTGCAGCCAAACCCTCTTGGAAGCACAGTAGCATCTGTTTTTAATATTGTTGTGCTATTATGAGTCCGTATCAGGTGGACTGTATATGACTTACTCAAAACTGGTTGCAGTTGTGAACTCTTCTAACTTAGTGTTAGCACTTCAGCAGGTAGAACATATAATTGTCAGCTGACATAATTGCCTTATGTCCAGCAATGCCTTATTAAGAGAGGTGGAATAGTGATAGAATTTACTTTCAGTTAAAAATTCAGGAAAAGAGAAAGATTTTTGTGAGGGAGTGTTAGACAGAGTAAAAACAGAATTTTAAATTGCATACTGAACTGCTACACTGCAGAGAAGAAAAGCATGCCAGCCAGAGATTCTCATTATATTGGGCATTTCTGAACTATTGTTAGTGCATTTGCTGAGCTGTGTATTAGTAGCATTAATGGTTCAGAAAACTCTTCTCTTTGGTTTAATAAAAAGCTTGGGAAATAACCAAGATTCCACCTCTGTGTCATCTCTGGTTTTGAATTATATCAGTGCTTCTCTGTTGAAAACCAATTGGCTGGACACCAGTTTGGAGTTGTTTGGAAATTGCTTCTTGTCACTGAGCAGGAAAGTCACTGTGTGAGCACAGGTAATGAGAAAAAATGACTAAACCTCATATTTTCTCCAGCCAAGCATTTACCATTATCTGTGATAGCTTTTATCTTTCATCATTTATTATACAAATTCTATCAAGCTGCAGAAGAAAGGCCTGCACTTCTTAGAAGAAAAGGCATTGTAAAAATCAAATGCACCCACAAAAATTTTGCAGAATACCAATCAGTGTTGCATCTTTTTATATTGTCCATGTAGATGATGCAGGCCTTCTCTTCACACTCACTGCTTAAGGCTTCTGTGCCTAGGAATTCCACATAAATTAGTGACAAATTAGTGAAACCAGCACTTTAGAAACAAGTATCACAGATTAGTGTGTTGTAGCAGGAGTTTGAACAAAATTACCTGGATTAAAGTGACCTGTGTCATGCAAGTGAGCCTAGATTTTGGGAGACCTTTGATCCTTGAGCAAGGTCTGCAAACAGACAAAGGGACTGATATTTTTTGCTCCTGCAGCTCCCTCTGCTGCCTGCCAAGGAGAGCAGATTCATGCCTAAATTTCTTTTCCCACTATCAAATTTTATTCACTGGAAGTATTCAGAAAAACCCATTGCTGGTTTTATCAGCTGCTGTATGAACATGTCAGTGCACAACAGAGGAATATATAAAAATTCTTCAAGCAAGGGACTGCAAAACTGAACTGGCACGGGTTGGCAGTATAAAGTTATCCCTAGAGCAGGGATAGCAGTATAAATTCATGCCTTTGTGGGTCCCTAGAAGATGGATTCATTGCTGTGATTGGCAGCTACTCTCTTCTGGGCATTAGTTTTGGCTCAGCCTGTAAGACAGTGGTTCTTCTGAGCCTGATGTCCCTGTCATCAAAAGCAAGGAAAATGCACTGATTGCTTTGAGAGCTGGATCAAACCCCTGTGAATAGTGTCTTTCTATACAGTATTTTAATTTCACTTTTAACCTGTTGGGGAAATTTCTCTGAAAACATAATCTTGTAAGACACAGATTTCTGATCTCTTTGATGAGCTTTACATTCTGAATTCAATGGCTTCAGGCTCTTTCTGAAAACTGGAAATGTTCTTATTAAAATATTATTTCCTAGATTCCTGTGATTTTAAGGCCAGTGAAGTTTTTTAGATTGTCTTTCCTAATAGTCCTTGTAAGAAGCATACAGGGAAAAAATCTAGAGATTTCAAACTGAAATCAGAGCTCAAATGACAGATACTTTATTGACAAATATTGTAAGATAGATCCCCTACCACAGTCCAGCATACAATTGCTTTTCTAGTTGATGACAGGAAGTAGAAACTTTTGAAATTTAATGTAAAAATTGCCACTCCTTTTCAGTGAATTCTAATAAAGAGAATGAGACCTGCAAAGGGGAGGAGCAGAGGAAATACAGGTAGGAGAGAAATTGCTGCAGTTGGTACAGTGGGTATCAGTTGTGCTACAACACAAGTGTGACTTGGCAGCTGAATGGAGAGAGAAGAGGTCATTGTGACTGATCTTATGTAAAATAAACAGATCACACCTATTCTTTTGAATCCCACTTCTCCCCTTTGATTGTGAAAGAAGCCTGATAAGGAACTCTTTTGTAATTTATATATATAAATGGAGGGAGCAAGCTTTAAAATTTCCTTCATATATAAACCAGACTGCACTTTGCTTTATATATAAACTATAGATGTGTTGTTAATTCAGCCAGTGCAGAATATAGCTTTGTGCTCACTGCTCTCTTCCTACAGGGTCATTAGGCAGCATTATCTGAGCATTTAGTGTCTGGATTTTTACTCTCCTCTTGTTTTAGGTGGGAGGACTGCAAGGAGTCTCCAGAGGAATGTATGATGGACCTGTGTATGAAATCCCAGCTACGCCAAAATATGCAACTCCTGCACCCTCAACTAAATCCTCCCCTGCCAAAAACCAGCCCCCACCAATCAGAAACCTCCATCAATCCAATTTCAGCTTATCAGGTAAGTCAGCCTGACTAATGAGAAACCTTTTAAAGCCGTGAGTATGGATTACTGGTGATGAATTTAAATTATAATTCTTTAGTCAAATATAAAAGGACTGTATATAGTCATGTGCATGCATATACTTACATATATATAAATATATACATGTATTTACTCTTTCATTGCCTATCGATATTTTACATATTGCCAATATTCAAACTGTTTTCAATCTGAAATTTTCTCTGTGTCAATCTTTCACTATTATTTCCCTGGCCCATTGCAATTGGCTGAGTTCTCTGGTTGATGTGACTGAAGCCCCTCGGTGTTGTGCACAGCTAACGGGACTTGGCTCTGGTGCAATCTGTGAGTCTCAGACATCTCACAGGCTGCATCACCAGCATCTAGACATGGAAACTTCAACTGTCCTTGTCCATGGTCATAAACTATGTGCAGAAGTTGTTCATAAGCAGACTGGAGTATTTCTTATCCTCTGCACTTGGTGCCCAAAACATTTTCCATGGTTTTGGAAAATGTTTCTGTTTCCACACAGGAAACAGACTGGAAAATCATCCTTTAGGGCTGCTGGAAATAATTCTTGTCCTCTGAAGACAATTAGAAGTGTGTAATCCTTATTCTTCAAAAGTCTACAGCCCCAGTGGTGAATAATACGTTCTTATGATGTTGTGAAAGTCATTGGATTTTTCCCTTGTGGGAGCTGATGGTGGAGTTTTCCTACTTTATAGATCCTCTCTTCAGAAATTAAATGAAACTTGTCTAAGAAACTCCTAGGAGAGCAAATATTTAAAAAGCCCTTCTAATGAGGTGAAGTATATTGATTTTAAATGACTGAGGCAGGTTTGAAAAGTCCCTTCAAGTCAGTGGAAAACAATTCTCCATGTAAGGTGAGCATTAGTCTGATCCTAAGCATATAATCCCCCACTTCTCATCGAAGACAGAAATGTGCCTTGAAGGTCTGTTCAGCACTTCAGTCAGGCTCAAGAGAAACTAGCTGATGGTGGTGTGAGGGAGGCATAGCCAGGTAAAACCTCACAACTGATGGTTTAATCTCTTTGACAGCTTTGTTTTCTCATTTTCTGTTGCAGGAGCTCAGATTGATGACAACAACCCACGTCGTACTGGCCACCGCATCGTGGCACCTCCTGGTGGGCGCTCCAATATTACCAGTCTTGGCTGAGAAATCATGATGGACAGAAACACAAGGATGAAGGATCATGGGAATAATGTCCATTCCCTTCAGTATCTGTGTTATCGAGCCCACAGTTTTATTTGGTACTAACAGAAATAAAAAATGAATTTTTTTTTTTTTAATTTTTTTCTTTTTTCTTTCTTTTTTTTTTTTTTTTGTATAGAAAGAGGTGATAATAGTGTGGTGTGTTTGCTTGGAACTACTTGCCTCACAATTGTGCTTTCATGCCATAGTCACCTTAAAGCATGGTGCTTCCATTGCCCCTTTAGTGACTACAGGTTTTAGCTTTGTCTCGTAACTGAATGATGGTTCCTTTGCACCCTTTCGCTGTATTAGAGTAGTTAATGCATGTTACTGAGTTATTTATGCAAGTTGCATTCTGTGAGTGAGTCCCTTTAGAACACATTGCCAACAACTGACTAGACACAATGCCAAGATTAATGTCTGTATTTGAGAAACACCACCAAAAACACTAATGAAGGAAGAAAATGGCCATCTGGAAAGTAAGCAGTAGAGTAGTATAGGCAGCTTCTGTTTAATCTTTAATTTATTATAAACCCAAGAAGCACTTCTCTCAAGACACAGAAACTCATTGGGACACATAATGACAAATGGTCTCCGTAGCACCTGTCTGTTCCCACTCGGTACATTCCAAGTCTGTGTCCTTCTTGTTTCCATTTTAGACAGAGCCATGTTTTACATACCAATGCCATTGCCACCCCTGCAGGGATTTCTCCACCTGGGCAGTAGTGCTCTCCTTCTGCATGAGATTTTTGGTACTTACAGATAATCCAAGTTGCTGTCAGATTTTTAAAGTTTTTGTACAAATTTTTTCCTTTGTAATCACATGCATTTTTACTTACTCTACCGTATCAAGATCTACTAGTTGTGGTTCAATTTCTGAATTCAAAGCTTGTGAAATAAAGGAAATTAATTGATGGGTAAGCGTCTTGCTCTGCTTTCCAGTGCTGTGACTCAATGATTGAAAATTTGGAATGGAGGAACGCAAGAGAAATTGTCTTTCAGGTTGACATCATGCAATAGAAGGAACCTCCTTAGATCACAAGTGTTGGGAAGTGTATAGGTCTGTATATGCATACTATAGCATGACATAGTATGTCTTATTAAACAGTGCTCACAGTAAAAATGTATTTACTAAAAATTGTACTTACTATTGACTAAAATGTACTTACTAATGGTCGGATTCGATCTTAAGAGTTCTTTTCCAAGAGACTTAACAAGACCTAACAAGTCTTTTCACAGACCTAACAAGTCTGTGATTCTGTGACATTGCAGGTGCCTCAGTTTTGCCTAAATGAGACACAAAGTAACTTTCTCCCAAAGACCTTAGATCTATGTCTTATTTGCCTAAAAAGGGGTAATTCAGTGTTGTCATCTTCATCTGTAGTACAGAACCAGTACCCAGTGCTGCACTTTGACCTAAGCCATATTTGACTTCATTTATGGTTTTCTCTACTGACTGAGCTGTGTCCAGGCATGGCAGGAAAAGAACATGCTGCAGGTAAGGTGAGGGAAGAGGACTTCAATTCTCTGAGAGTGAAGAAGTATTTCTTGTCTTTCTGACTCTCTCACAAACTATGTAAAGAAACCTTGTTTCCTGTCACTTTTTGCTTGTCTGGCAGTGTTACAGATGCTGTGGGAGGTGTGGGCTGCAGTGGAAGTGGGGTGCAATTAGCAGGTCAACAAACCCCTCCTCTTGTGCTACTTTGCCTTCATCCACACTACAAAGCTGCAGCAGGGAAAGTCTTGGAGCACTGGAGAGGTTTTATCAGCTGTGCTGCTTGACCACTGAGCACCCATCCATCCCACCCATGCCACAGTAACTTGGGTTGGCACAGTTTGTGTGGGGCATGCCAAGTGTACGTGAGCCATAACAGTTTTGGGAAGTAGCCCACCTGAAGCCTGTCATTCTGAAACTAGTACATTGTCACCTCCAGCTTGCCTGGGAAAGGAACCAGTACCCTGGAAAAATCCATTTTGGTCAGCTTGGTCTGAAACCTGGCAGCACAACTGGTCTGCAGAGCCAGCTTTTCCTTTGGCTTTGAGCTGAACCAGTGCAGAAACACTGCAATTCAGTCTGCAGTGAAATGAATTGCTTGCTCCCAAAAAAAGGAAAATAAAGCTTTTCATGAACAATTCCTTCTGCTAAGAATTCAAATTCACATTTTCTATTGCCTGGAGAATGCCCTCATCCTCAGGCTTCCTTGCTCATTTGGTGGTTCAGATATTTTATATGATATGAATTAAACTAAATTGCTCATTTTGTGGTTCAAGTTTTTTATAGGAAGTAAAATAACACTAGTAGAGAAGCCTGAGGACAGTGTGCCCTGGAATAACCTATAGCCTAGCAGGTAAGGCAATCCTGAAATGTCAAGTCTCCATCTGCCTTGTCCTATTCCAACCCATTTGCTGTGAGTGTTGACAGCCAGCAACAGTTGTGGTGATGTAACCCTGACAGCAGAAATACAGCTGGTTTGTGAAGCTATGTGGCAAATTTGACAGCGTGAAAATTTTCAAATTGCTGGTTACAATTTCCCTGTTGCACTTCTTGCATGTTTTTGTGCAAGTAGCAATGGTTGCTCACCTTCAAATAAAGCTTCTACTCAATGTATGAGGCTTGTCACACTTGAGGTGACAGCAGAAATGATCATTGTGTAACTCGTGTTGAGATTCCACTTTTCCTACACGCTTAACAGCATCTTAAACCAAAAGCCCTTTGCCTACAAGCTGGTCAAAGATTCACTGTTAACATGCATTTATTTTTTCACTGTGAAGTGTCTGTGAATAAATACGTGTGGGTGTTTTGAGAGGCATTTCATGGTTCAGTGCTCCTCTGGGAACAAGACTGTGCCTGTCAGGTCAATGTGGCTCTCCTGTGATGCCTCCAGGAAGAAGCAGCCTAATCCCCTGCTCCTGCTGTGGCACTGTGGAGGGGCAGCCTGCAGGAAGGTGTGGATCCTGAGCTGCACCTCACCAGGCGAGGTGAAGGATGCCTCACCTGGATGGTTACTGTCATTCCACCAGAGAGAGGCATGTGCCATTCCCCATGGATGGCAAAACAAAGCAAGGGGTGCTTCTCTTACCACCTGGAGTCTATTTCATAGCAATGTCCCTGTCCCTACATCACTAACCTGTCCTTAAGAAAATAAAACACTACCAGTAAAGAAAATGTGGATTAGCTGGTGCTTCTGAGTGCATGCTGCAGAATAGGAAACTGCACTTGAGTTTGCCCCCTTGCAGGAACACCAGGTTGGGAGATGTGAACTTGGTGAGGAGCTGCTGTTATCTCAACTACAGCTGGAAGCAGTGCAGAGCTTGCAGGTTTTCTGAATAGTCAAACTTCTAAAAATCTGCAGCAGGCTATGACCTTTCAATACCTGATGTTGCTCTAATGATGAAAAGCTGCTCTTTCCTACTGCTATTTGCAATGGTCTGCTTAAAATTAGTCACTATGACCAGGCTGGGAACAATCTTTGTTAATTGTGGAAGGGAAGGCTGGATTGATTTCTGAGCATATTTTGGACCAGTTTGTCTTGTGCTACAGTTTGTCTGCTACCAGAGCAATGCAGTTACATGTCTAAATTCTAGAGTTTATAGCAAAGCCTGCTAATTATGATGCTAAGACTGTACCAAAACTGACAGCTGTCCCAGCCTTTAAATGTTTCCCTTGGCAATATACTGGTCTTTGTCCTCAAGAACTAACATCTCAGACTAGGCCAGGTCAGATGACCATCTGCTCTGGGTTCCAGTAGCCAACAACACAAGCTTGGAGGAGGTCAGAGGAGCAAGCTATAATATAATAATATAATAATATAATAATATAATAATATAATAATATAATATATAATGCTAATCCTCCTCTGAGTGTCTGCTCCTTTTCCAGTGCTTTGTAATTTTTGAGAAGCAGCAGCATCATTGCACCTGTGGCTCTCAGTGAATTTGTCTGCCATGCATTTGCCAAGATGTGGTTAAACCCATGTGAAATCCTGCCACTAATGTTTTCCTGGAGCAAGGAAATGCACAGCTTAAAGCACAATGGCAAAGTGTTGATCTAGTCCTCTTGGCACCAGCTGTTTCTTGCCATTTAGAGCTAGCATGGTTCTCAAAGACCTCACATGGCAACAGCCTTATAGATCTAAGGGAGTGGCAAGCAGAATTCACTAGTTTGCCATGATTCCATCTTCTTGACATAAACATTTGTCAAAGGAAAACTCTTTAGGGTACAAAATATCTACACAGATATTCATCTATCAGTGTATCTAAATATACAATGGCACTAATAACACTGTAGGTGTAACATTTAAAAAAAAAGATTAAATATTAGAAATATCACAAATCTGCATGATAGAGACAACTGCATAATTAGAACATCAGTCTGGAACAGCAGTGATTTAATTCAAGTTGTATCTTAATCCTGTGTAATTGTCAAGGAGCTCTAGGCACAATAAAAAAGTGTGTTTTTATTGCAGGCTCAACAGAGCACTGGATTTTGCATTTTTTACATTTTGGGTCAGGAAGTGTCCATGAATTCAGTGCTTGCATCTGAGTTTTCACCTCCCTTAAAAAATCAGGGATATCTGAATGCTCTGTTCCTTATTACCATGCTCTGCTCCTTATGACCTTCCCTCTGCACTTACTACTAAGCTACCAATCCTTGTCCAATCTACTGTTGTCACTCATCTAAACAAACTGACTTTAGGATAGTTTTTCATCATGGTTGTGATGAACTTTCCACAAACTTTCCAGATAAATTTCAGTGATGACAGTAAGGGCTGTTGGTATATGGGAAATAGAATAATGTTACCACCAATGTTTAAAATAGGAAGAATTGACACTTCCCCTAAATTTCTGCAGCGTTTTTGATATGTACCTGTAAAGCATGATCAAACCTCCATGTTATCCTTTCCAGAATAAAGAGAGGGTGCTCTGTAGATTTACACTATAAACTGAGTTTTTGGATTTACACTATAAACTGAGCTGTGACTGGTGCCTAGGTATCCCATTTTCCCCTAGTCTGACTCTATGATTCTCTAACATAACATAAAATTTCAACAATATTAACTGCAAAGCAACTGCTCTGAGTTTTGTCTGCATTTTTTGCACTTGTTTCTTGGTCCAGTTAAATCCTGTCTTGCTCAGTATCTGCCTCACTGACAGACAGCGATGGCACGTGTCACAGTGCCCACCTGCACATGACATTGAGCTTGGTGTATCCACGGGGAAACTCAAGGGGACTGAAGTCACTAATGGGGACAAGCCAGCGGGTGTTTTGACAGGAGACTGCCAATGTGCCTGGGAGAAAAGAAATCCCAGGAAAGTCAGACAGGTGGAATACTGGCAGGTGCCCGCACCCGGACCTGGAGGGACTGGCGGGGATCTCACGGAGCACAGAAACCCCCCTGGGGAGTGGTGAGGATCGCACGGGGCACAGGGACCCTCCTGGAGACTGGCAGGGATCTCACCGAACACAGGGACCCTCCTGGGGACTGGCAGGGACCACACGGGGCTTAGGGATCCCCCTGGGACTGGCAGGGATCACACGGGGCACAGGGATCCCCCTGGGACTGGCAGGGAGCACACGGAGCACAGGGATCCCCCTGGGACTGGCAGGGATCGCAGGGAGCAGAGGGATCCCCCCGGCTCCCTCCCGGAGCTCCCTGCCCGCCTCCTCCACCTGCGAGGGGAGGAGAGCACCGCGAGCTGCCCGGGAGAGGGCACTGCTGCCCTGCTTTTGGGACAATTCCCTTTCCTCATTCAGAGAAAAAGCCATTTCGAGGCGGTCTGGCCAGAGCACAGCACAGGGCAGACCCCACCTGGGTAACTCTCCAGTGATTCTGCTGCACCCGGAGCGTGGCAGGAGCTACCGCTGCCCTGAGGGGTTTGGAGCATCATCTGCTCTAATGGCAACAGCTCCCTGTGT